AGCAAGTGGTTGTGGGGATCCAGCTTAATGGCTTCGGAGTAGCACTGTAAGGCATCATCAATGTTGCCTGCACTCAGGGCCTTGTTGCCCTTCTCTTTCAGCTCATTGACCTGAGGGAAAAAGAGCACACAGCTTCTCTATGACGTGCCCATTTCATCTCAAGCTTTTAAGATGATACTCATTCTTTTATGTAGTTATCAACAAATAAATAGATTACTTTATAGATCAGAAAGGAGAAAACAGGTTCATTTTTATTTAATTTCCCACACCTTCCTTAGGGAGCCAACAAAGAAAAAATAAGCAGAGGCAAAGAGCCCAGGCTGCGCGCCACGCCGGCCCCACCTGATGAACGAAGGCTCTGCCATTCTTCCAGTCTCCACCTGGAGCTCAGGAAGCCACTCCAGGAGTGGCTTAAAAGCTTGGACCCACACGCTCCTTTCACGGAAGAGTAAATTCACTTGTCACAGATTTCCAAAGCATCCAAAAGACAAACGGAGCACAGGCCTCGTCACCCTCCACAGGAAAAAGGTGGATGGAGTGGCACTGACACATACTCCAGTGCCCCAAAGGCTGTGGGATGGCAGGAAAGCTTCTCTTTCTTAGGAGCGGCAAGATGCTTGCCTATGGCATGGTTACCATGTCCTCCCATCAGAGAAGAACCAATCTCCATGTCCTGGTGTGGCAACATGTCGCCACATGATAGGTAAATGTTCATTAATGAATAAGAATCAAGCTAGCCCCCAAATTGATTCTAGCCATGCTTAAATATTACTACATAACAAAGGGGATGGAAAATAAAGGAATACTGTTGTGATTAATAACTCTCCTTTCTCAAAGATTTAGAATGCAAGAAATAGGGATACAGCAGGTTTTCCTTTGTTTTTTTGAGATGGAGTCTCACTCTGTCGCCAGGCTGGAGTGCAGTGTCTCACTGCAACCTCCACTTCCCGGGTTCAAGAAATTCTCCTACCTCAGGCTCCTGAGTAGATGGGACTACAGGCGCACGCTACCATGCCCAGCTAATTTTTTTTTTTTTTTT